CTTCCTGTTGTGTCTCTGGGACAGGAAGTGAAGGGAAATCTCCTCAAGGGAACACAAACCAGAAAAAGAAACCCCGAACCGTTCCGTACTGTATCCAAATGTAACAAAAACGTTTCACCTTCAGGTACACTCGAATATTCTGGTCACATGACTCCGCCTCCTCAGAAGCGCAGTGGGCGGGGGAGCAACTTGGCTGCATTTTCAGAATTGGCAGCTTCTGATATCAAACGGAGTTACGAGGGCAGATCCTCCCCCTCCCCCGGCAGGAAATGACACGCTCAGCAGTTTTAAATGCAGAAATTGCACATTTTGTCTGACGTGCGCTATAAATAAAGTTGGTTTTAGTGCCATTGAAGCTCCATTTATTAAAGGGGAACCGCAGGCATATTGTAGCAGTCTGGGTCCATGTACAGGAAGTGCTTATATACACACACATAGACGGGGCCTTTCATGGTCGGAATATCCGGGGGGAAGACTTGAGAGAGAACAAGATAGAGAGGCCGCCAGAGCGACGCGAGAAACGCCGCCAAACATCACCGGAGTCTTTATATAGCGGCCGGATCAATATCCGGAGAAGCTCCGCCTCCTATCAATAATCAGCCATCCCAGGGCTCCAATCAGCGACTGTGCCTAGGCTGAGATGATGTCATCTGTCTGCTGCAGGCAGGAGGATGCATTTCCTCAGTCTCCCCTCCCCCCCAGTGATCAGACTGCAACATTGTAACAAGTCACACGGATCGATCTCTTTGTTGCACTTTTGTTACCACCAGGAGCAACGTCTGCATGGAGTGTGTATAGAGATGTTTGGATTTTGTGGTAGAGTTGAAGTGGACTCAGGTTCAGGTGTTATGGGAGGTGTTGAAATCGTTGACTCCTCTTCTGGGATTGGTCGGATTTCCGCATGAGGGGCGGCGCCGGGCTTGCGGTGCAGAATCCGTAGCCTCATCCTTGGAGTCGCCGTTGGGCGGTTTGCCAAAAAGCTGTCGGCGGCGAGAGCGTTGGGGGG